ACGCATAACGCCGTGATCATCGCAATACAAATATTTATAAGAATAATTCTGTATCTGTCAGTGAATCTGTAAACGGCGTCCTTCAATTTAATGAAATCTAGGCCGTTATCTAAGCAGTGTCGAACTAGCCTTCGAGACCCCAAATGAATGGATCCAGGGAAGTGCAAATACGGACGTAACATAACATTTGGAACATAAGAGTACCCATGTGCACTGTGAGTGGACATTACTGTCGGGGCTGCGATGGTGATGAACAGTGAAGAGGTAGCGTAGTAAAGTGACTTGTTGTTAACCTCGAAAACACATTTATTATTATGACAGGATAAGTCAAAGTCAAGGAAACAAACGCGTCGATCGCAATACGTTGTTTTAAGTTCAAGAGTCTGACCATAAATATCCCGTGAAGTGCTAGGAAAATTGGGGTTGTTAATAACCGGTATGTCGTCAATATACCGAACAGTTTCAGTCGCACTCTTTTATGCTTGTAAAGGTAGCGGTATTCCATAACAGAAAGTGTCAAGTCGGCAATATCGGGGCTGGCATTTCCTCCCACTGTTACACCTTGACTTCGATTAAAAGCAACTCCACCGAGGCAAACATATGTTTCGCTAATAACAGCGAACATCATAGTTTTAACTTCACTTATGGCGTAGTAAGTGCGATTGCCGGGTAGGCTGTTGGTGAACCAATAATTGGATCTGCTGAGGACCAGGAAATCCCTCCCCGCATACAAGAAGCGCAAATCAATTAAATATGAAAGACAATCCAAAATTTCGCGATGAGCTAACCGTGTGAAAAGATTAGTAAAACCAGCGGTATGCAGTTAGCTGATGTTTCTATGAAGCGCACTTGGTTTAGTAAGCAGTTCCGCAGGACTGCGATCAATAAAATAAACCTGTCTACCCGTGGAGTCATAGATCCTATAGCAGTAATTCCGAAAATGACACCTGAGATGATTCAGAACACGACGAATAGTTACTGCAAGAGGCCGAAACACATGCACCAGCAATGAAACGGTACTCATAAGGAGTTTTGTGCAGTTCAGGGATGGCATAAAGCACGGGAATGCGATCACCATCAGCAGTATTGTGCAGATGGAACTTTTGAAGAAAAGTCTGGTGCTTACTAATGAGCTGTGTGTATCAACAGCAACCGGAGTGTCAACATTCATAGAAAATTCCACATACATATACTGTGACTATGTTGCTGCTATGATATATACAGTGACTATACAGAAGCGATGCTGCCGTTGATTTGTTGACATGTTATGTAGATGGCGCAATAGAACGTATATAACATACATACAGTATACCCACGCAGACATGAAAGTACCGGTTATCGTGACTTTCCTCGTGTAATACACTTATGCTGCTGGTATATTATAAACGGCGCATGCGCTGAAGCTACAACGAGACTATGTTATTGGTATATTGTAGAGAAGATCCACTATAAAATATAGCATCCGTATACGTACTGGTCGACTACCATCTGGAATAGCGGACCATTCCGTATAATGCGTCTATGTTATGTCTATAATATATACAAACAATATACAGCACTGGTACCTCGCGTTCTGCGTCTTTGTTGATTTTCATTTTTACATGATCTATACAAGTTTCTGATTGTCTGCGTGCAATGAATGCGCGCAATTTTATACCGCAAATATTCGTAGTAGACCTTGAAGTGTGCTTTGTTGCCTCCAGATGAACTTTAATTATCCCTCTTTGGACATTATTAGCTCATTACCGTTTTTTGCTGAACTAGTGACGAATATTTTTCGCCTACGGAAACGAGCATCCTCAACCTACAAACCAGCTAGGTATCACATTATTTAGAATTTGTAACACACTGACCATCGAAATTCAGGAAGTTGTGTAGATATATGGCACGTCAGGAGTAGATATCAGATTCAGCAACCGACGAATGAAAAGTTTCTGGTGCGCGAAAAAAACCCTACTAAAAGGGTTGAATCTGAAGTCATTTAATCGCATTAGATTATCGCTGTTATTCGCATTAGATTATCGCTGTTATTCGC